ATGCCGTCTGTTCAAGTACGAAATAATGAACATTTACTTTTTTCTATAGTTGCACAATATCGTTTTTAACATGTCATTCTTATCTTATATTGTAAGATTCTTACTTGGCAAAATGCCTAAAAGTACTTCAAGATATAATATTATATACTGTCGAAAATCGGAAAATACGGAATAAAATTTAAAAAGAAAATTTAAGTACTAATCAAAAAGTTAAATGATTTAATAATATTTATTTAAAACTTGGATTCTTTAGATGTCACAAATGAGTCAAATGGAAATGGATCAAGAAACAGTATATGGGACCCATGAAGACAGTCATGTGGTCATGTCAGAGAAAGTGCAATCTCTGGCTGGTAAAATTTATCAAGAATTTGAAAAAATGATTGCTCGTTATGATGAAGATGTGGTCAAAGACCTAATGCCCCTCCTAGTCAATGTTCTAGAATCTCTAGACATATCTTATACTGAAAATCAAGAGCGTGAAGTCGAATTAGAGTTATTAAGAGAAGACAACGAACAACTTGTTACACAATATGAAAGGGAAAAGCAATTAAGGAAAACATCTGATCAGGTATGATTTAAATTTTTATGGTACTCATTAACTTTGATATTTTTTTTTATATTTGGAATAACACATGATGCTCTTTGAGAAAAGATAATATTTATGATTTTTTTATTAGAAATTGTTGGAGCTTGAAGATGTAGCAGAAGATGAAAGAAAGGAACTTTTATCAAAAATTGATAGTTTGGAATCAATTGTAAGGATGCTGGAACTGAAGACAAAGAATTCACATGATCACGGTACAAATGGCTCTCTCAGTTCATCCCCTCATAGAACATCTCTCTACAGTAGAGTAGAAAGTTTTTTTTGTTTTATGTTTATTTAATTTATTAATATTGTAAATTCAATTGGGTAAATTATGCAGATATCTGGGATCAGAGAGTATTTGCATGCATACTTCTAAAAGTTTTATCATATTTTATTATTAAGTGCTTTATTTGTTATTATGTGATATTTAGTATAATGAATATTTAACTTTTAGTTTTAGTTTAATTAATTTTTATTTTATGTATATTTTTATTAAAATCTGAAGCACTCTATGATATATGATCCTTATAATTAAATTATTAAAACACATATGAAATATCATTTTTATATTTGTTTAGTCGTTCGTCTTGAAGAAAAAGAAGCTGAGTTAAAACGCGAGTATACTCGTTTGCATGAGAGATATACAGAATTATTTAAAACGCATGTAGATTATATGGAAAGGACAAAAATGTTAGTTGGCAGCACAGAAAGATTAGAAAATTCGTCTAACGGTCGTGGGCCATCACGATTGCCATCACTTGGTTTAAGTCACATGTCTCGAAGTTCTGGGCCACTAAGTTATGGTTTTCAGAGCTTAGAAGCTAGCATAAATGCAGAAGAAGTTCAACATGAAAGTCCACCAAATACTGCTTCTAATTTAAAAGCTGAAATGTTGGATAGTAGCAGTGAAGCTGCTATTGAAACATCTGATAAAAGTCAATTAACTGATAAACCAGTACAAGCAAATAAAACAACGACAATTTCTAGACGTATGTGATTTATTTTTTTCAGAAAATTTTATGTTTTTTGATAATATAAGGTTTATACCTTTACTTTTTTGTTTTATTTATAGATGAAAGTCCAGAAACTGATATACCTCCACCTTTGGTTACACCAACATCACCAACAACCATAGAGAAATTAACTACTACTTCAAGTGGAAGAAGTAGGACAGAAAGAGAACAACGAAGTGGTAACACATTGTACCAGGAGCTCAGTTTCCAGGATGCTGATGCATTAGGTGAAATGGATGAAGGAGCAGATATTACCGGTAATTATTTAATAATAATTTAATATTTAATGTAATTTTAAGGTTTTATAATCTTATTTTAAAAATTTTAGGTAGTTGGGTTCATCCTGGAGAATATGCTTCGTCGGGTATGTCTCATAAAATAATTAAATTTTCGTATAAATAACTTAAGTTATTTGTTAATCCTTTGAGTTCTTAAAGTCAGTTTCTCTTTTTTCCTTTTTCTTTTTTCTTTTCTTTTTTAAACAAGAAAGGAAAACATACATTGACATACAGAATGATCATAATCATTGGCGAATTGAATTAGTACAATATTCGTTTTGCATGTTCTATTTTCTCATACTAATGTTGATAAAATTAATATTTTTGAACATTAATACCTAATTAAAATCAATATTGCATGCTCAAACACTTGTTAACTTAACAATTTTATGTGTTGCATATTATATGATAATATTACATATATTATTTATATATAAATTGGAACTCTGAGGGTTAATATTAAAATTAGAATTAAAAATTATTAATCAAATCAAAATTCGATAATATTGCTTGTCACATAGATAATAACAAATAAATAGAAAAGACAGTGATAGAATATAGTTAATTTCAGATTTTATAAACCTATAATATTTACAAATCACACATATATATTATTACCTATCTATTACCTGAGGGAATATTAGCAGATAAATTTTTAATAGTTTACTTATAAACATAGTGAAGTAACTATGGATATTTTGCTTCTCATGAAACTATTAAACATTTATTATCAAAAATTTATTAGCAGTACTATTTCACAATCCAGTAGTGCCTTTTATTCTTAGCTTATTGTATATATTAACAAAAAACAAAATCATAATAAAGCTCAAAACTGAAATAATACTACAAAAGAAAACAAGTTGAAAATTACTAAATTATTGTGGGACTAAAATATAAATCCATTGTAATAACTTCATTGTGAATGTATTAATCTAGAAACGACTCATGTAAATTCGTGAACATATATAGCTTTACATTGTGTAATCTCCAAGTCATGCAATTTTGAACTCTACAACTCCAAAATCGAGAAATCTAATTTAACCATCGATTATATTGTTCGATTGTGAATTTCATAATATTTGGACCACCATTTGTATTTACAAACTATGTCAAGTTATTTCATTAACCTAGTTAACTAATGGGGATACAAAATAAGCATTGGGTCACTATAAGATTATAATAATTTAAAATGTCTGATCCTGTGTTCATTTCACTTTCAATCTAAAAATTTCAGCAATTCGAATTCTGTAAATTTAAAGTTCATTATATCGACCTAGGAATTCGAGATCTAAGGCTCGGCTAATAAATGTGGTTTAAGATTTAAGGCCTTATGATTGCATAAGTTCATAATGATTTAAAGTGTATTTGAAAATGTCTGTTATAGAATTTATGGTTTTATTTATTTATGTATTTAATAATAATTTACGGGTAGTAGATTTCATTAGTGTATCAATAAAAAATAAAAATACATCAGTTTATTAGAGAGAGAAAGAATATAGGTTACGTATGTTACAAATGCCGATATAGCCGATATAAACAGTTTGCTTAGAGATTTAGGATCTGGTTTATGTTATTATTGTAGATTTATTTTGTTTTTAGTAACTCAGCGATGGTATAAAACTGATTTTGCGACTGTGGTCGTATATTCTTATGAAATATCACCTAATATTTGTGAATATTTGTAAATATTGTGTAGTTGTAGTAAGTGTTAAAATTGATTATTTTTTATCACTGTTCATCTTTTACATATATTCTATGCAAATATTAAGTTTCGTATTTAAATTATCTGGTAAATTATGTATTAATGTATTTTTATATTTCATTGCTTGCCTCCTTACTTCTGCTGGCTGTGGTCATATCTTGATTAAATAATCGCATGATATAAATAACCTTCCATGCAGTCAATGACAACTTTTTTGGTAAGATGTTAATATATTGTTGGTATTGAGAGTATATTATTTATGTCCTGCTAAGTTACTCATAAAACATGATATTTTCTTAGGTATGGGGAAAGAAGTGGAGAACCTTATTATGGAGAACAATGAATTGCTAGCTACAAAGTGAGTACTTTATTCATATCTTATAATAGCATTACAATACTTATTTTCATATTTTATCTATTATTATATTAACTTATTTTTCAGAAATGCGCTCAACATTGTTAAAGACGATTTGATTGTTAAAGTAGATGAACTTACAAGGTAAAGTGACATTTTTAAAATAACATTTCTTTTTTCTTATTTTATGTCTAGTATATATTACTATCATAACTCTAAAATCACCCTAAAAATTTCCATGTGTTATAGTTACTATAATAAGAAACAGTTATCAAGTATTGTTACACAGAACAATTAAAATTCTTTAATTAAAATTTTGATTTAATTTCAATAAGGGTTTTAATGGAATTGTATTGAAAATTTGAAGATCAAGCCAGGAACAAAGCTTTTTCTCTAATCCTTTCTTATTTCATTTGTATTGGTTCAAATTTTTTAAGAAATTTATTACTGTATGCAATTTCTACTATATCAACTTCATAGAAAGTTGTTTTCTGTTCACTTTCCTGTTCACTTAAATAATTTCCAGGTGATATTATGAGAGGAAGAAATGTTATTGTACTTTTAATGTGTCAATGAATATAAAATTGAAGATATCTAAATGAAAAACAATCTTTATGTACATGCTCCTATTTTTTGAGATAACAACGAATTAATTGTTTACCATTTTTTTTCTTTTTTTTTTCAAATAAAGGTAATTTATTTTTTATTCTTTTTATAAAGAAGAACATTACCTCCCAATACACTATATATTCCTTATTATTTTGACCACAATATATAGAAATTGAAAATTTTAGGGTGGTTTTATGATTAAGAGATGTATTATACTTAAATAAACTTATCTTTTAGTGAATTAGAAATGTTACGTGAACAAGTTCGAGGTTTGCAACAAACAAGAGAACGCTCACGGCAAAAAATTAGTGCTCTTGAAGAAGAATTGAAGAAAGCTAAAGAAGAAGCTGAAGCAGCAGCAAAAGCAGCCAAGAGTGACGATGAGGAAGATGTATCGTTAGCGCAAAGAAAAAGGTTTACTAGAGTTGAGATGGCTAGAGTGCTCATGGAGAGAAATCAATATAAGGAACGGTTTATGGAACTTCAAGAAGCAGTTAGATGGACAGAAATGATGAGAGCAACAAAGACTGATCCTTGCAGTATATCAGGTGGAAAAGTATCTGTGTGGAAGTTGTTAGTACTATTTATATAGAAATAAATCGAAATTTTTAATTCGATAAAAATATATCGTTTTCTATTTCGTTTTGTTTATAGCTTTAGTAATCTTTTTACATCTACGGATCGAGGAGCCTTTGTTCGTGGACCACACACGTTACCTCACATGAGATATAGTGCACCAACAAATCAAGTTGTCCCAGCACCACCACTGGATACCATGCGTAGACGTACGTTGAAAGGTCGCCATGAGTTTTTGGACCAGGGAGACACCATGTGAGAAATCAATCAAATTCTATACACACACACTTAGATATTATGACAATTTGACACTAAAGCTGCCAAATTTTTTTCTATCTTTTATATAAAGATTTATTTCTTTACTATTTTGCTCTCTTCTAACTACAGTGTTAGCATACTGTAATCATTTCTACAACGAAAATTTTAACAAAGAGACACACAAGAGATTACACAAATTTTATGCATAATATCTATTTTGATATTTTCACCAAAGCTATTGCAACAACAGAAGAGATTTTTCATCTTTGTGGGTTAGAATGTCGATATCTTGGCTTTGAGTAATTTATTGTTTTTGAATTCGACGTCATCTTTCCAGATTAGAGTCCTCTTTGGTCAGTTGGGATCCATAATCTTTTGTCGCGACTCTCAATTACTCTTGATCGTTCTTAAGAAATGTGAGTCATTTCTAAATAATTTGTTGCCTGAGCAATTTGCAAATGTGATGGTCTTTAACAAAATTTCGTTAATGATTTCCCATTTACCTGCCATTTTTTAATGAATAAAAAATTGTGGGTGTATACTTTATGCGCAGTATTGTATGCGCTTACACCGAAGTACTGAAATATGATTATGGTCCATGGCACACAGACAAGATTTTTCCCTGTTGATAATCTTATTCTACTAATATGTTTATTTGTTTTTCGTATATGAATGAAATTATAAACAATCGTGTGTATTGAAACGGAACGTTGCTATATACACTTATTATATCAGTCAATTTATTACTCACTATAGTGAGTATATGTTTGATAATAGTAATGACTAATTTAAAGAAAGTAAATTGTCTGTTATCTTTGCAAAGCCATGCTTGAAAAGCAATAGTTTTGTAAATACAAATTTGTACATTTTTAAAACAAAAGTAATATATGATCATTATTGATCAACAAATAAATGAAGTTTTGACTATGTTATAAACTTGGCTTTTATTTCACTCTTGCTCTGCGCTTTGATTTTTCGTTCGGGTTTCGTCCTTGCCTCTCCTTCATGGCGTTGTCAAGAGATACCTGGTTATTCTGGTTTTCGGTGGGGTGCTTATTGGCCAGCAGGTAAATCTGTTCTGCTCTATGTCTAACATTTCGCTTCTAATCGTGGTTATTTATAAATTTTGTTGTACAAATAATGATAAACCTGAACATTGTTATACAAGATGGAAAAAACAATTGGATTAAAACTTCATTCAAATTCAAGAAAGTGTTCTGTGATCAAGAAAGTCTTCATAGGAATATATGATTGAACAAACAACAGCATTCAGTAAATCTACTAATTTTATAACTAAAAATTCTATCTTATTCATATGTAGTTTAAAAATAATTTAATAATTAGCTTATATCTGATACATTTTTACAGATGTTCTGAGAAACTGGTAGCGAGACGAGCAAATGAACGAAGAGAGCAATATCGTCAAGTCCGCGCACATGTTAGAAAAGAGGATGGACGATTACATGCTTATGGTTGGAGTTTACCTGGAAAACCAAGTGTTACAGTTAGACAACCCGTGCCTGTGCCAGTTTATTGTAATTCTTTACCAGGATCCGAACCTGGCATGAAGGTGGATTTATTTAATATTAATATATAAATTATTTATATATCTATCACCATTTACATGTGACTAAAGAAGTAATGTACTAGAAAAAATTAGTATTATAATTTTCTTTATTTTTAATTACTTAGATATGGTGTGGTGCTGGTGTAATTTTAAGTGGTGGTAAAACACGAGATGGTGGATGTATGGTTGGAGGAAGCGTATTTTATGCTGCTGAAGCACAAGAAGTAAATACAAATATAAAAACTGAAGAAGATGCTGTTGAACATTTGGGAAAGGAGCTTCAAGAAAATGAAAATCAAAGGGTAGAGGCAGAACAATTGGAGCAACAGCTTAGCTCATTAGTTTGGATTTGTACATCAACTCAGAAGATGTCGAAAGTTACTGTGATAAATGCTAATAATCCAGCCAATATTTTGGAAGTCTTTAGCGTTTGTCAAGGACATTTACTTTGCATTGCAAGCGTACCTGGAGCCAAAGAGAGTGACTACGCTATGATCGAAGCTATGATTGAAGATCCAATTAAAACTGCCAATGGAGTAACTGAGAACAATAGCCATGAAGTAAATACGAATTTAAGTACTGAACAGAACATTCAAAAAAACAAACAAGAAAGTCAAGTTGTGTCAGAAAAAAATAAAAATGAATCAGATAATGTTTCAGAAAAACGAAATAATGAAAATGTTGAAAAATCGAATGATACTAACCAAATTATTACTACTGAGCCACAAAGTATGGAAAGTGTAGATAGTGAAACTGCAAATTTAGGAAAAGTGCATTTCATAAAAGTTAATTTAGATGTTCCAAATTCACGATTGGATGAAAAAGATGATGTAACTGAGGAAGACCAAAATAAAGTCGAAGATGATACACCTATAGAGAAAATGTCTTCAATACAACCAACAATGTGGCTTGGAGCTCAAAATGGTGCAGTATTTGTCCATTCAGCTGTCGCTAAGTGGTCAGTTTGTCTACATTCTGTAAAATTGAAGGATGCAGCATTGGCTATTGTGTATGTAATTTTTATTATACATTAAAGTAATCACTATTTTATTTTAATTCACAACATATATTTTACATAAATATTTCTTTTTAGACATGTACAAGGACGAGTTCTTGTTGCTCTTGCTGATGGAACTGTTGCATTATTCCGAAGAGGAGCAGATGGGCAGTGGGATTTATCTCAATATCATGTGATTACCTTGGGTTATCCACAACATTCAATTAGGTGCATGACCGCTGTTAGTGGTAAAACTGTGTGGTGCGGATATAGAAATAAGATTCATGTTATAGATCCAGTTTCAATGACTGTCGAGGTATATACATATATACTTATTTTGTTATAATTTTAATAATCTATTAACTATATTAATATATCATAAATTTCTTTTATAAACTAAATTTTCAGTGTACCGTCGATGCTCATCCACGGCGAGAATCGCAAGTAAGACAGTTAGCTTGGTTGGGTGAGGGCGTGTGGGTTAGCATTAGATTAGATTCAACATTAAGGCTCTATCACGCTCACACTTACCAGCATCTTCAGGATGTTGACATTGAACCTTATGTTAGCAAAATGCTTGGAACTGGAAAACTTGGTTTTTCATTTGTGAGAATTACAGCATTACTCATTTCCTCCAATAGGCTATGGATTGGTACAGGGAATGGAGTAATAATCTCTGTTCCCTTATCCGAAAGTAAGTTCAGAAGACTAATAATATGAGAAGTTAATCATAAACACTTATGTATGAATAAAAGATATATGTAAAATAGATGCTGGTGGTTCAATGACAGTATCAAGAGTTCAGGCAGGAAATATTAAAAATGATGCACCAGGAGTTGGTGTTAGAATCTTTGCCTCAGATCGCGGTGTCACACTTGGCAGTTTCATACCTTATTGCAGTATGGCTCATGCTCAACTTAGTTTCCATGGACATAGGGATGCAGTAAAAATGTTTGTTGCAGTGCCTGGTATGTTAATTCATAATTGATTAATTTTTTTAATGATATAAAGTTGAAAATTAAAATTTTTATTAAATTAATATTACAGGTCATGGTGGTCAAAGTGCAGTATCAGATGGTTCACAACCAGTTATGCTTGTTCTTTCAGGAGGTGAAGGTTACATAGATTTTAGAGGTGGTAAGTAATTGTATTAATAACTTTATTATTGGAACTTCATGGTATTAATTATTTGATTAAAACTTTTAGTAACTCGAAAAATTAAATTTATTAGGTATGGGTAATAGTAATTAAATTCATTCATTGTTTATATTCTTAATAAATTACGAATTATATAATTTAATATTATGATATGAAATACGTTTGACTTGATTCTTCGTTTATTATTTAATTAGTGTTAAAAAAAAATATTATTAGGACGTTATTTTATACAATTGTAACAACTTGCAGCAGATGAGGCAGAAGACGAGAGTGACGTGGCGACTCATCTGATTGTATGGCAGTTGGTCAGGTATGCCCCCAGAGAAAAGTGAAAAGCGATTAATGGGTTTTTTATTCGATTTGTTTAACTGTTTGTACGATTGAATGAATAAGTCGTTTGTATTGTTGATCAACAAAATCTATACTAACTACTAAGAGTATGTTTTGTGCACGGTGTAATGAAATTCTAAACTAACAAGTTCGCAAGTAGTTAGATACATCTCTAACCCGACATTAAAATAATTTATTTTCGTTTCTGTATAAAGATATTGGCATATAAAATGTATATGTGTTTGTGTTTCCATTATATTCATTGCATTGACAAACAAGAACAATCAATGTAAAATCATTTGCTTCTGTATAGCACAAACTATTCTTCAAATAATTTTCATTAATACAAAAAACTATGTTTGCACCTCCGTTTCTCAAATAACTGTACACCGTATAATTGTTTTGCTTTTTTCATTCTCTGGGGGTCGGGCATTTCCAGCTGACATGCATCGTATTGTATAAAAGCAGCTGATGATCGCACTTCTTATCTATTTTTATCATGAATATTTGTTAAAACAATTATATATTGATTGTGAATCATTATTTATCAGGTGATGGAGAAGACACAGAAGAGACTATGGAACGATCTAATAATGCTGTTACCGCAAATACTGAAGAGCACGCAGAACAAAGTCATTTAATTGTGTGGCAAGTGCAATGTCCTTTACCAGTGCCAATGAATGGCAAAAAATAGCCAAGAAATTTTGAAAATACGTTAATCCCGGTGTATGGTTCAATTTGAACTTGTACACATAAATTGAAGCGTTTAAAGGTTTAAACGGTTCTCGTGATATGCTGTTGTGGAATCGATAATCAGACCTATCTTCTGGTCAAGTGAATGCTGCATCTATTTAATTATACTTATATAACGATTGTAGCGAAGTACGCAAAGGAATCTACGAATAATGTAACAGCGAAGGAAAAGGAGATATTGTACGACTTCTATGAATACTAAGGATCATTCTTGGTATTTCATTATGGATAATTTTTTAAGAGAAAGCTTTTTTTGGGGGATTTCTTGTTAACCAATATTAACAAGATTAATTAATTTACTAGATATGAGGTATTCATTGGAAATCTTTTTTAAATTCAGAGACATAATTAGAATCTCTTAACTCAATGCTTATAATCGTTAGCTTTTAACTTGAAAAACGTCCTTTACAAGTACTTTGTCAGAATACTAATTCGTAATGTAATTTATAATGAAACTTTCCCTTGATGATCATGCATGTATTCTTTGTTCGTTGTTGAACAAAGTATGTTCCCACATTTTCGTACGTAGGAACTTTTAAAACGTCTTGAAGTCAGTGTTGATCGAAGAATGCTGGAAGTATAGTATTACATTTCCGCCAATCAATGTGATAACTGATAGAGATATGGGGTAATGTGTTTTAAAGCTGCCGTGACATTTGCTAACTAGTTGCAATAAAATCAAGAAGTTAGACAACAACCATTGTACAATGTTCATTTGCAGGGATGAGAGGTGCAACCGATTCGGATAGTATTTAGGCATAATCTATTGTACATTATTTCCGTTAGAGAATATATTATTTTCTAAACTTAAACTGATTTGATTCGCGTAAAAATATATATACATGGAATATAATATATTTTTTATGTTCTGCTATTAAGGCTCCTCTAATATCATCGTGTTCGACCGTGCCTATTTTTCTTCAAGCGGTCGTCGAAATATCTCAATAAATTTATGTGTACATAAACTGTTGCGAAATGTTTGTATAGTGTTTTGTGTAGTATATAATTTAAGTTTTTGTCGAGAAATGAAATAGATGCGATTCTGATACACACACACAATGCAATCATGTGTTTAATCTCTCATTGGTCGCTGCAACTTTATTTTATCGTTAACATTACTCCCTCCTTATACTATTACCAAAGACGAGGAATGATTTAATTGCATTCTTTGTACGATTTCTAGCGAGAGATGGTTTAAAAGTTGTGCGTCATAGCCAATATGTAGCGACCCGAACTCGATATATAGAACAACCATATGCATATAGGACTCAAACAGAGTTGTCACGATATTCGGGCTTGCGAAAATTTTTGTAAATTTTTGTGTTATAAACGACGAACGGTGAAATTCAGGATATGTACGATGTATAAGAGCTGCGCATTATTGTACGTGAGCTCGCTTTCGGTGTCGAGCTCGGAATTGTACCTGGCTCTGATGAAGCTGCAATGGCGTTAATAAAGAAAGTTATGAAACAACATGCCTCGATTTCATGCTTTTAATTTAAGCATACGATACTTGCTTTGAAGTACTAATTATAGAATTATTCTTTGTTACACTTCTCGCAGCAACCATCAAATTATTATTCGATGATAATTTTTTTGAAGAAAGATAAATTCAAATGTGACCATGTACTTTCTGAAAAACGATTTGTGATCTTGATTCCTTTTTAAATTAGCTTATTTGAAATTAAAAATTCTCACTTTACTTCTCATTGTTCAAGTTACAGAAGCAAATTCCAACTTAAACTCTGACAATGAAATTGTAATAATTAAAATTAAGATCATAATTCTGAATTAAGTTCCATTCTCTTTAAGTAAAATTTTTAATTAAAATATTTGGTTTTATAAATTATTTCTTCATTCACTGAGTATTTATTTTCTATTTCCTATAAGCACTATTTTCTAGGTTGACATTCGTGTTAGTTTTATAACAGAATCAAAATATGCATTTCAGTAATTTTAAATATGGGTTGTTCCCTTGAGTAAATTACATAGATAGATTAACTTCTAGGGACAACAGCTGATTGTTTTCCAAATAATTGCAATGACTGTTTATACGGGCCGAAGTTGGAGTACGGTTTGCTAACTTCATTTACGTTGCTGTCTGAATTCTAACCAGCGACCTGAAACTTTACTTACATGCATGAAGTGCAGTAATAAATAGTTTCTGCAGTTTCGCTGGTCTCTGATGATGCTGTACGGACAACAAGACTAGGTTAGCAAAGCAGACGCAAGAAACCAACTTACTTAAATCCATATTTATGGGTCAAAGGTATGTAGAAAGAAGAATCTATATTTCTTTCATGTGTTAAAGTATTATGCACCATAATGTTATATTTAAATATTATATTATCATACGTAATAGTGGGATTGTGATTAGTATCATTTCAAAATGTCTTACGTTAATCCAAAATAATTGTTATCGTTGCGAATAAAATCATTTTTCACATTTTGGCTATTAATAGCAAATGGAGATGGACATTGTTTGAAAATGTTTAGTAACTTTGATGCTGAAAACAAGAATATTATACGTTTAACTTCGTCGAGTACATAATAATGGTTTTGATAGGTGTGCTTTCAGAAAAACGTTATTATCCTATCACATTACTTTTTGTTCTTTGTTCAAAATTTTTTGTATTTATATTTGGATCAAAGTTTAATTATAATCTTATTACATTAATTTAATTTTAAAATTTGCTTTATAAAAGTGTTAATTAACTATACTTGTATTTTTCAATAATTAGTATAGTTGATTACTGTCACTACGTTCTCATCGAATACTTTTTGAAACTTAGGTCTTATTTCTATGATTAAAGATATTTAGATACATTAACAAATATGTTAAACGATGTATTTTATATTTCATTTGATGTAGCATAAAGAATAGTAATCGATTGCGAATAGATCATCGATCATAAATTCAATTTGTAAAACGAATAAAATATTAAACTTTAAAGGAAGACAAAATTTTTATCACAGAATCTTGAATGCAATATAAAGCGAAATAATTAAAAACGAAACATATCTCTTTACACATCAATTTTGAAACTAAGGTTTAATTTTACTTGCCCTGTAAGTTTTGCAAAGATGTACGTTAGTGAGTCATCGCTTCAATTTTTATGCAATCGTGTTTTAAATAATACGTTTGAAAGGCAAGATTGAGAACGAAAGATACGTTTCACGAAGAGATGTACTATTAATGTTAATTTATATCATTAATATAAGACTATACAAATCTACTATGTAATAATTTTCATACAAATATTCGTTAAGTTTTTAAAGCAAATATTAACACTTCAAATTGTTTCGTATTTTTGTTATCACGTGACAAATATTTCAAAGAATGATATTCCAACTACTTTTCTATTCCATTATGAATAACTTTTGTTTGCAAGTAAAATATCAGTTCTTATTTCAAAAAATTAAAAAATTGGAAATTAACGATCTACTCTGACTACTTTTAAGTAATGTATCAAATACCTTTAAAATTATTCAAGTGAAATTGATCTATAAATTTTCGAACTATTGCATACATCGCAATCATATGATTCTTACTAAACACTTACATTACAGACTGCCAATAATTTTTAGTACACCAATTATCTCGTTTAGCTTTAATTTTATCTAATTATGAGAAATAGTACAATTCTTACCATATTATCATTCGGCTAAGTAACAATAATAAAGTAAGAAACTAATTTGAATCTTCCTGTGTAGCAGTTTGATACAAATTTCAAAATTGTATTACGAGAAATTTGAAGTAGAGTACACAGTAGTTAATATCGCAATTTTATTATTTGGTTGCATTAGATCATGGTCCGTTAATTGAATCTGAAGGATAAGAATATTTTTTAAGTTAAGAACGATGGAAATCGATGCATTTAAAGATCATAGAAACTTAGACGTACCTTACTTCAATGACCAAATGAATATGAGTTTTCCTATCTTTTCTTAATTGCAACTCGTATTTTCTCTTTTTTTACGTAAGATTGTTCAGCTGGCTTTTTACGAAACATTTAGGAAATCTTATTGCAGCAACAGCAACGTTTATATTTTTTATTGTAAATAAAATTTCGTCATTTATTTCGTTATAGAATAAAAAATGATATTTGTTTTCGGGTTTCGTGACTTTTTATAGGCTCAATTTTCTGTAATTGAGAGAAAATAAAAATTTTCATAACAATTTGTTTTTTTTATGCCTTCTGTAAGAAAATTAAAAGAAAGCTCTGCAATACGGTATATTGATAATATTACGTAATAAAATGATCACAGAAATCACGGATTTTTCAGAAAATTGAAGTATATTTACTCGAGAATTTCAAAATAGAACATTATCGAGATGAATGTTTTCTACTGATAATTTCCTACATATGAAAAAGGAATTCTAGGTCAAAAGAACAGTGCACCGATAATAGAATTGTCGATTTCCTGATAAATAGAAAAGGAATGTGACATTTGTATAGAGTAATTCTGCAAGTAAGTTGTCAAGAATGTTTAAAATAACAGGGAAAGTGGTTAAAAGTTCCTAGAATAATAAGCAAGCATATCAATATGCAAAACAAAAATATGGAATTATTTTACTCTCACTTCCATAAAAATTGAATTTTTATTGTTCTTACTATCAAAGAAAACTGGAAAAATCGTATCGAAAATATGTATCGATAAAGTAAGTAAACAATTAGAAATGAGAAAATTAATATTGTACAGTAGAAAACATTATACCAATTATTGGAATATACTACTATTCCTTATGACATTTGATTCGCACAATTATAACTACCACTCATAATTTATAGAAAAGGCGAATTTTAAATTGTTCCCGAAACGAAGCTTAATGGTAAATTTTTATTTCTAAATATAAAAGTAAAAGTTAAGATTCAAGAACTGTCAAATAACCTTCTTCAAGAATATAATCTTGTTCGATGTTAAAAACAGTGAACTCGCAATTGACATCGAATAATAAAATAAAGTTTGTCGGACATTATTAACAATGATTCTTTATTCCTGTTAAATTGTCTATTTCTGGAATCTTTCAGTTCTTTTTCAAGTTCTGTCAGTTTACTGACACTACTTCCAAGCAAAACAAAAAACGAGAAACCAATCGAGTGACGGTTACAAGAAAATTTATCAGCACGGAAAATCAAAGCGATTTGCACGTGGCGAATCTTGCCGAAGAATGACGAAGATCGGTTCAGGCCTTATTCTAGTCGTTCGGGCGGTCTCGGGTCGAGCGTTGGCATATCATTCCATTCCAGTACGCATTTGCCACTCATCGGCCGGCCGGGATGATAAAAGGCCGTTGTTACCGCGACTGATCAGTTGTTATTTGGAACGTGGCACGCAGTCGAGTGTGCCGGTCTCAAAGTATACACAAACCACACTGGCTTTCCATCGAATATCATTCAGAAGATATTGTTGTAAGAGAGAGACGGAGGACGACAAAATGTCTGCAATGAGAAGAGAACCTGCTGCCGAGCAGCTGACCGAATATAAAAAGAATTTAAAGGTAAATCATATGTAATTATAGTAATCTCTACGATTTAGGAATATCATAAAATCAATCATGTTAAATTACTTCGATGTATCGATAGAAATCTGAAAAGGTAAAGATCCGAAAAGTTTATTGAAATCAATCGGAGAACTTTATATTTCTGTACACAATTATGAGTACTATAGCAATAATTGATGTTGATCTTACATGTTTGAACTTAATATTTTCTATATTGTGGAGATTAGTGTATGGTTGTAGAATTGCATTAATTTTAGATATTCGCATTTTGCTTGTTTGTTTTTGTTGCGTTTGGCATTGCACAATCGGTATAACAGGTATCGATCGATATAACAGATCTATCCAACAGCTATAATTGTTTCTGGAATAAATGTGTGGTAGAAAATTCTATTAGCTTTATTTAAATGCTTTGTGTAGTGATTAAGATATCATTATATACAGTTACTCATAAAATTGAGCATACGGCTATGTTGATAGTGAAAATTGGCGGGAAAATTAATTAAATCGCGAATATTAATATATGAATAATACTTAACGAACGAAAAACAAAATAACATTAAATATATATTTATATTTAACTGAAATTGTAAAATTAGTGGAGTTTTACAGCTACAAAATAGAGCATATATATTTACATTTAGGTTATAATATATAAATAAATTAACAATAATATTTTGTAATCGTCGTGGCATGGATGCAAGAACATATTAATGAAGGAAGGCGATATTTTGTCTCATTCTTCAAGCAGTTGTAATTTTAATTTTTCTACTTTTATAAAATTATGATTTAATAATTTTTTTTTTAATTTTTCCCAAACATGCTTAATATGTTTAACTCTTTGCATTCGAGAGGCGCCTCTCAGTCGCCATTTAATCAGATTCTAAAGATGGATGTTAATTAATATATCAAATTTACAATTACCCAACGATGCGTGGAATATTGAAGTAAAATAATTTTACGTCTTAATTTGCATGTGACTTCTTATTTGCCATTTTAAAAATATCGTCGATTTTATGGCAGAGTCTTCGAATTACTATTTTTCTGTAACGAAAAAATCGCCGAGTGTAAAGGGTTAAATATATTTTTAATAATTTTGGTATATTATACAACCATTCTTGTACTACATAATCTGCATGTTTAGGGTTATTGTCTTGCTAGAAGCAGTATACTGGTGGTGTTTTTAATTGTTCGGCCGATTTTATCCACGGTACCATTAATGAATTATATACTCCCGTTGCCATTTTTAGCTATGCAACTTCATAACATGATGCTCTGTGTTGAGCTTCTTTCACACAAATTGTTTTTTTCCATCGCGTCCAAATAATTTTATTTTAAACGTTTTAACATTTTTTTGTTAATCTAATTTCTTTTCCCGTTAATCATAAAACTTTATAAATATATCTAGGCTGCTTAGAGTTCAAATAAAGTAATATACTTACTTGAATAACAATTTTGGTAAAAAATAATGATAAAGATAGCATGGAAATTGGGTAATCGGTTCAAGGGTTATTAACGAAAAATATAGTTACTTAAGTAATTCTAGTTATTTCAGAATACGTACGTCTCGCAATAAAATATTTATGTTGACTGTAGAAGTTAATGTCATTAATATTATTGTTACAGCTATATTTTATGTAAATTCTTATTATTTATTGATAATAAATAGCAAAATTTCCAAAATAGTAATAACCAGTCGTTATGGTGACATATTATATATAATCACAGTATAGTCATCTATAAATTTATGTTAGAGATATAGTTACTGATTTCGAAATATTCTTCTGCGAAGTAACGACTAGTATATGAAATCATTCTCATTGTGCAACTGTCATCAGATAGATATTTATGGCATACTATTTAGCCCTCAGCTATCAAAATTTTGATAACCAATAATTACAATTACAAAGATCTCCGCGAATAAAAGTCAATTAAATGCCATGTGATGAAGAATTTTTATCAACATGCTTCATACAATTTGTTTGTATTCCGATACTACGCATACAAGTTTGCGATAACAAAAATTCGTATACAACTGTCTTGTAACACATTACCATTGGTCGATAACTTTTTTTCACTACGGTTCACGTTCGGCAGATGTGATACGTGTGCCAAAAACAATCCTGAAAAATCCTCGAGATCGTGCAACTATCATCTTCGAAGTAACTAGATTCGTCTAAATTTCAGTAGAGGGAGTTGAATAAAAATTATTTACACGGTAAAACAGAGTACCTATTGATGTGACAATCGAGCATTGTCCTGTGTTCAAAGCTCAAAGATAACGATGCGTTACTATAAGCATTGAATAACAAGATTTTAGTGCGAATCTTATAGAATTTCAAGGAGATTATTAAAGAAGACAAACAAAATTTATTGAAAATTACTTTATTTTAGTGATAAGTAGGAATTTCTTTGGAGGATAAACAAATAGGTTAGGTAGTTTCCTCTCTAGAATACAGTATTTCTCGCGTGATTATATGGTAACTGAAGCATGCTTGGAACGATCATTATAACTAGCTGCGAATTGCCATGAGTTACGAGTTAACAAAGTAGCAAACCGTGACTGTAAGTAAATGTCACCGTATTAGGCAAAAATTGCGTTTTAACGTGGATATGTTGATGATGTAAAATTCTGGATTGCGTTACGTGATGTATTTGATAGTATAAGATGTAAAATATTCAATTTTAACCGAATTTAAATTGAATATTTTCAACTTCTCAATTTGATTTTGAAATAAACATTTAAAAGTTTACTATTTAATTCCATATTTCGATCATCATCTGTTTAGGTCGACGCCCACAGCCAATTACAATTTTCCCTTCACTTCATTTTAAACCTGTGTTATCTTCATATTTCTATATAAGGAGATCCATTCTATGGAACGCCTTATGGTCCATTTCTCTGCCAATTAGGGAATTAGTACGCTCTTTGGTAAACTCCCGATTTCTCCTAAAACAGTCGTAAAGAAAATCATGGAATCAGCCTTTGTCGTTTCGTGAGTCTATTTTTAACTTTCATCCGCCAGCAGTCGCTACATTACACGTTCACCCGATCAGTTTCTTTTTCACATGTTTTTATTGTAGGCTGCATTTTCTTTCCTATTCATCATTCTAAATGTGTGATAAAAAGTCAGTAATAATAATAGTAGTAATAAATCCTTGAAATGTTCAATGCACTTTGAGTAGATGGTACGTTGCATAATTTTTCTGTAGAGAAGGTAATGACGCAAATGAGGCAGATAAAAGCAAAATTCTTTTGGTTAATGATATAAACTTTTTTGATCATGAAAATCGGCATAATTGGATTACATGTGTCTTGCAATATAAATCGACTTATCGCCATGTAGCCACTTTTTTTATTTCTTATGAAACTGATAAATAAAGTTTCCTCGATAATAATGTGCGTGAAGCTATGGTAGCATGACTTGGAAGAATCATTCTAGAAAGAATGCTTGTACAATCTTCTTTGATAACAGTTTCATTAAATGGCTAGGGAAATTACATAATATATCTTTTGATATTTTTCTAAATAGATAGAGATATCTATTATACTGTTTTTGTATGAAATTGAATAACTAAAAAGCATTCATAAATAAAAATTATAATTATAATTATATAATATTATAAATTATATTTTATATTTTGTTGTTTATATTATATTATATAAAATGTTGTTTTTCCGAGATAACTATAAGAATCGATATTAAGGCGTTTCGATCGTTACCTCACATTGGTCTGGTGTGCATTTCGTTCTAAAATAACAGTACGAGTCGATAATTAGAGACGTTGATATTTTCCCGTGTTTATTTCACAAAATGTATTCCATGTCGTTTCTCGAAACAACTGAAATTATACAGGTTATAACAAATAGGTAGCTATTATACAGGAAAATTATAAAATAAGTTCACATTGAAATTCGTTACTAATTTAATTATGTTTTGAGCGTAAATAATTTGTTTACTTATTGACCTGTAATTTTAAGCAAGTTATAAGCTCTAATTCTCAAAGATAAGGTGACAAAATTATTGGAATTATAATGCTAAAAATCGAATTCACTACGCAGTTCGTGAAAATAATTTTTAACTACTAATAAAAAGATTTTCAGAATTAACAAAAAAATATTTCCAATAAAAAATTAATTCATACTGTCAGATTAATTTTCTAAGTGTTGAGTGTTAAAACAATGAAACTCGTAGCGATAAAAATGTCATATAACGAAAATTGAAAATTGAATAAAAATAATTGTAGAAAAGAGATAATATATTCTCATTGTTGCGGTCATATATTTTCACCCAATATACGTATCACAAAGAAAACAGTACTTATCTGAGAACACAATATAACGTTGATATAATAGTAACGTAATAATAGCTGACCTAACCATAAAAATATCGATGCAGCTCTCATCGTTGTCTGTCTAAATGAAAAACAAAAACATATCATAAAAAATATAAGGGAAAGTAGTGAAGCTATGTAAATAAAAAGTCCAGTAGTTTACCGTTAACAAACGTCATTTTAATTAGAGTTATTGCTAAGGCATCCACGATATTCTTTTTCATCGAATCACTAAGCCACTCGTGGAACTATAATTCACTATAAAACGGAAAATTAATTTAGAAATAATTCTAGTAGCGAAATGGGTCGCAACATTAATTCCCGTGCGATTCGTGTAACAGACTAATCTCAGTTTTAAGGAACATCACGATCCGTTTCGTGGCATTGAGGGCGAGGTGTTAGGTTACGTCGCCATAACTTTGGTGTATTGGCGTCGATTAATCGAGATTCGATAGCTTCTGCTTTGTCTCGCGATTGGCCGAATGTGTACGTTACATAATAATGCGAACGATAATCGAATGATTGAAATTCTTTAGGAAATCGATTTACTTGATAGCGTTATTAAGGAAAGAAGATAATTCGTTCGTAACGGTTATATTTTTTGTCACGTTTAAATACAGGTATACTTAACAAGGTGAGATTATCTTGTTTTTTATTCTCTAACT